TGCTCCAATAAATATTCCGATGTCACATATCCACCATGCCACCATAGCTGTAATACATATGTTAACTGTCTCAAGCATCAATCCAGCATAAGATCACTTCAAGTAATTTGTAGTAACTTGCTGTAGGATGTTGCCTGTCTCAAGTGTCTTTGCAAATAGCTCCAAAGGTACAAAAGTGGAAATGCCTCTGTCCACCCCAGTGACTCTGTTATCTGTTCAAATTGATCGCTCCAAACTTTGCCCCACCTGTAAAGTAAGAAATAGCATTGCCCCGGTCACTCTACCACAGATGCGCAAGTAATATATAACATACTTGTCTAACATTCTTTCTAACTTTCTTCTGGACATTCTTTATCCCATATCTTCATACATGAGGTCCGGCAGGGAACACTGGGCGTTGGTTTTCGCGGTTAAGGTCCGGCAGGGAACACTAGGCGTGGATGGTCGTGGTTGAGGTCCGACAGACGGCAAGGATGGTCGCGGTTAAGGTCCGGAAGAGAACATTTGGCGTGGATACTCGCGGTTGAGGTTCGGCAGAGAATACTGGGCGTGTATACTCGCGGTTGAAGTCCCCAGGGAGCACTGGGCGTGGATGGTCGTGGTTGAGGTCCGGCAGAGAACAATGGGCAAGGATGGTCGCGGTTAAGGTCCGGCAGAGAACACTTGGCGTGGATACTCGCGGTTGAGGTCCGGCAGAGAACACTGGGCGTGTATACTCGCGGTTGAGGTCCGACAGAGAACACTGTGCGTCGAGGGTCGCGGTTGAGGAGGAGGAGGAGAGGAGAGGAGGAGGAGAGGAGGAGGAGGAGGAGCAAGCAACTGACATAAAATCTAACAACCCTCACCTGACAGGTGGGGAATGATAAAAGGAAGATGTGGGGAGTCTAAAATTGCTTCTGCAGAATTCCCCAAAAAGAGGCGGAATTTTTGGATTTCGGGCACTGGCGATTTGCGCGCAGCAGCTCATCTGCACCCAAATCGTAATATTAGTAGTAATAAATAATTATCATAATCAAAAATATTTATAAGAATTTTGCATTTAATTCACAATATTATTTATCGGGAAATTAGTTATTTAATATTCAGTTGTTGATTATATATATAATATACAATATCATATAATTGATTCTATTTATATAATATATAATATCATAAAAGTATTTCTTCATAGTCTATATTTTGAGATAAGGAATTAACCTCAATGCACAAGGGTCGATGGTGATAAATCTTGCAAACAATGAGGATTGATTCATGTTGATCTTACAGAAGTCCATGGGTGTCCGACTTGTGCAAAAGAATCGAGGACACAGTTCTGGAAGCCAGGCTGGGTCAACCTGCTCGAAGTCATCTGAAATCCATCTCTCCATATGTTGTGAACCACTAAGAAAGAGAACAGCTTGAGTATGACATGGATTTATATTAAACAGACTAATTCATCTAAGTGCTGTTTGATTGGGAATATAGCATCGTGAGACCGGTTCAAGAAGGGGAGACATTCACAGAGTCAAGCAAGAGACCCTATTTTACTCGCTGCGATCGTTTCGAAAATCGCGTCAGAGAAATCGTGCAAACATTGCCAACAACATGCAACAACTTTATGCTGAGCACAAAAATCATGCGAATCGTGGATCCCAAAAAACGCAAGCTGTTGTGCCGACAATCTGGAAGGACATAAGGTGAAATAAGATTCGACACGAACTTGTGGCGAAAGAATGACTATGAAGAAGTCTTCGAGAAGTTTAAGGATGTTGTAAGGTGTTTGAGATCCCTACACTCCACTGCATGAAGCCTCGGTGACGACTCGCAAATAGCTCTTGGCTGTGATGACCAATTCGTTGTAGATGACGCAGGGCCTGAAATGGCGAAGGCCGCAACTGGCAAACAACTTGAAACTTGAAAGTGTAGATAGAGAGAGAGAGAGTCATCATTCTAGGCCTCTGCCAGACAATTGATGCGTCCATGATCCAGGGCTACAACGGCGGTAGTTGACGCCGATGAAGGACACTTGTCGGATGCAACTTGGCCTCCTGAATGGGCCCAAAATCATCATAAGACTCAAGACTTTAGTGAAGTGCCGTCAAGACCGAAGCTCGTATTCTGATTCACTTCATGTCCTGTCTTGAGAGAAAAGTTCGGTAAGAATTCTGATTCACTTCATCTCGGCGCGCCGACTGTGTAAAGAGGCCCTGTCATGCGCTTGTGGAATGTTGCAGTGAAGGCTAGAGCGGCTAGACATGCAACTTGATATATACTGCGAAGTCAAATTAGATTATTCAAATTGAATTTCACGCCATTTAACACATGTCGAAGTGATCCTTACGGCATCTTATGGCTACAAAGTGCCTTCAAGAGGCACCTCCGCACTGTTGCCCAATTCTTTGGCCTAAGGAAATATCTCAGTCTGCTGGCCGCACCTCCGGTACTCACTGCACTCAGTTGTCTAAGTTACAGGCCCTCCGCAGCTCGAAATCTGCGCTGCTCCCCAAGCCTCTGCGGCTTCTTTCACGGATTTTCACGGGATCTGTTTCTGTTGCGGATCCAAACTGAGGAACTCACTTGGTGCAGGACATCCTTCAACTGCTTCCGAATAGTGACCTTGTCGAAGCAAATGTTCTCCAACTGCAACAGATTGCATCAGCAGTCATTAGCTCAGAAAGATTGAGGCTCGAGGTCTCTGCTGCTTTTTCGAGTGCTGCATGATTGAGACCATTTTGTGAAGCAAACACCTGACGCAGCAAGACCAAGGGAAGAAGTTGACAGCACCGTGGACTCATGGGCACAGGAATTGCATCAACATGAAAGTCTTTTGACATGCAGATACTGGCTGGCCTTTTGGTGTTGGTGTTTCTTCCATTGGTTGAATGCAGACAGGAGGGAGAGATGATCACCGTCCTCGCAGTTTCGAGCTACAATGGCTTTGCGCAGCTTCGCAAGTTTGCATCTTGCTTTCAAGTGTGCAATCGCAAAGTCCTCATGCTCAAACGCCTTGGTTTGAGCCCCTTAGCAGACTGCATGCAACCTCTGTTTCTCAATTTTGTATTCATGCACTTGCTGATTTAAGAACCCAACTCTGCTTCGATGTTGCAAAGATCGGGGCATCTGCTGACAGCATGGCAATAATGCCTGTCACTGCAGGTCTGCATTCAAAACGATCTTGCGAAGCTCTACACCCAAATGCAGGACAAATCAAATTTGAAGTTCATTGAAGCACTGGATGCTCCAAGACAGGCTGAGCTTCAGTCTTAGGATCTCCGCAGTGCAGTCAAATTCGAAGGACATGTTCAAACAATAAGCGTACCTGCGCTGAGATGAGCGCTCTTTGTTTCAACTCAAGGATCAATTAATCTCGGGCACAAAGGATCAAGCGGCATCATTGCCAACTTTCTGCCCAGGTCCGTCAATTCCTAGCAGTGACCAAGGATGACCAATGATGATCAACTTTCTAATACTTCCTACCCAGGTATCTTTTGATCTCTTTGATGAGCATGCTTCGATGTCTGCAAGAGCGAAGGATAGAAGGTCTGGTGAGGTCCGCGTGTGAGGCCCAAGCATCCTTGGTGTCCAATGCCCCGATGCGACAGAGAAAGTGGGCAGCTTTCTCCAGCGCCTCTCGCGGCGGTCTGTCCACCTCACAGTTTCCACGCAAACCCTGGGAAAAAGCGAAGGACTCTGGTCGTATCATGTCATATCAAAGTTCTGCGGTTCCACGATGTTCCACGATATTCCACAATATTCCATGGGCCACCGTGATTTTGAGATGCTGATGCGGTGCCACACCATTTGGAACACCGTGTCGTCAATGAATTTCACGATTCTCTCATTCTGATGAACTTGATGAGCAAAGCAGCAACGTCACTGAGCTTCTCACAAGAGGAAAGTCGACTATCTTTGAGATTCCTAGGGCCTGCGGAGAATACCCTGGAATCAGGATGAAGTGTCATGTCAAAACATGGTAAAGCATGGGCAAGGTCAGTCCTTCAAGTCCATGTAGACAGATGCCATATCAACGCGGAGAATCTCTGCTGGCGTTTGTGCTAGCAGTTTGTCAAACTCTGACCTGGCGCTGGCCCTGACAACCCACTGGACAGTCTTATTCATCTCCCACACACATATCTATCTATATCATATACAAATATATAGATAATATAATAATATATTGTTATATACAGAATAGCAAGAAGAAAACGGCAGAATGATGCTTCAGCAAACATGACTGAGGGACTCCACGTACAAACGAAAAACCTCTCCAGGTGCTTCGCGGCCTGAACATGTAAACAAAAACAATGAAAAACAGATGTTCATTGGGACGTTCATTGCTTCAGTATCTTACAACGATTTGGCATGTGTAGTACACTTTGCTGAGACAGATCCAGAGAGAGCTTTGCAATTGTTGGATGTTATTGGTGCATATTGATGCTACAACGAGAAAAGCTCAGCAACCCCCTGTGTTTTTTTTTTGCAGTGTGCCTGCTCGACCAGCTCTTTGCAGAGCAGAAGCTTGCGAAGTGGGTACCGTCCTGAAACATGCCGCTATCCCGATTGAATGTCGATGACTCTCGATTTCTTGATACACCTTAATCGCAATGCCATGAATGATCATCATGAGTGTTCACAATCCAACACTGTTCAAACCCCGCACCATGTGCAGAGGGCCTGAGCATCTGGACTCCTGTCTGCGGGTGACTCATCTTCAGTTTCATCAACCCCGTGTCCTCAGTCTGAAATCTTGTTGCACACCGATTTCACAAACAGCCAACGTGCCCACCATGTTGTGCAAGTCCAGAAACCCATTTCTTGTTTTGCAGATCAAGGTTCTATGACATATCGGATCCCTGAAATAGTGATGGAAGTCTCCGCAATGTTGGTAGCGAGAACAATCTTGCGGCACCTCGCTGACACACTGGTGCAGTGGCATTGGGAATGTTTTTGAATACGTGCAAACTGCAAGATGTTGTCTAGGCCCAAAACCCTGGAGGGGTCTGCTGAAACACCAGCTCCTCGAGAAGTCAGGAACATGTGCTTCAGGAACCAAATCTAGATCTGGTCGCATGGGTGGCTCCGTCCCTTGCTTGACTTGCCCTGCCTGCCTGCTGATCAAACGGCAAAGAAGAGTAGATTGGTCTTATCAAGAGGTTCTGCACCTACGAGTACGATGTCAATGGGAAAACCCATCGTTTCGAGCTTGGCGCCACTAAACTCGCCAAAGAGTCGCCTGCTGAAAGGTTGGCCACAAGTTCACGCCATTGTAGAAGTCACCTGTGAGCTGCACGTGGGGCAAGGACGGCAAGGATGTCAGGACATGTCAGGACAGGTCAGGACTTTTTCTTCCCAACAGAGAGTGCCTTGTTGAACAACCTTCTTGTCTGGGTTTTCTTGCCTGTACCGTGCACACGCTGCAATTTGATTGAACTCAAGATGAACACCGGTCCATTGCCTCTCTTTGGCCAACATCTCCTTGACGTTTCGGCTTTACGAGATATCACTACTACTTTAATCTCACAACGATAGGTTCATGATGGTCCGTGGCTCCTGTTTCTCTTCCAAGAGCCTGTGCAAGTTGTCAATGTCATCTTGGCCAGGCCTCACTACAAATTGCAATGTACTTGCGCCGGTGGCAGCTAAACTTACGAACTCCCGTGCGGCAGGGGTCACAGGGGCATAAGGTCCAAACAAGAAAACGAGAACATCTCCGGGAGGTCGAGAAACATGCAGCTGCAAAACGGCAACCAGTGCAGCCTCAGAACTTTCAGCTACCACTCTTGACTAATTCGCTTTTGAACATCATGAACAGATCATGAATGTCATGGCCCTGCCCAGTTTTCATTCAGCCATGTCCACTCTGCGCACCTCTAGAACGTCTGGCTCCGGCGATGGCGTATAGAACACTTGCCTCTGTCCACCAATTCAGGAGTCCAGCAGAGCTAACTTTGATTGAATGCGGTGAAATAGCACACATTTTGGCATAGTACCTCAAACAACTCAACTAGTACCAGTAAAGTGGCTGAACAATGTTAAGCACATCTGCCAAGAAACACAGCATGCTGTCGTCCAGGAACCTGGATGAGTTTGACCTCCTCAAATTCATTCTGTTGAGATGCAAAAGGATGCAATTGAAAGGGGATTGCATGGGATGGCCACCACGACTCTTGGATTCTCTTGGTAGGGCCAAAAGATTCAAAGCGCATAGATCATATAGATCTAAAGAATGTTGCTGCCAGTCCTTGCTGCCAAAGAAATTCACAAAGGGTGCAGCATGGATAGTCGCTGACATCACAACAACCTGGAGGTGCTGGGTACATCTACAAATTGCTGTACCCCAAAAAACCTGCACCATATTGCTCATAGATATAGGCTGCCATGCCAAAGTAATAAAGACATGCAAAAGCTATCAACAAATGAACTCTTTATATCTATCTCTACATACATATACAGACATATGTGTATATATATATATGTATATATGTAGTATATTAGCTATATTACACACTACATCATAATTATATTATACTACATACAGTAATTGCTATATACATATGTACAATATATACATATTTGTAGTATGAATGTGTATATATATATGTAATATACATGTGTATATTTATATATAGTGTATATATATATATAGTGTATATATATATACACTATGTATTGTGTCCAGATGTATCCAGTCTGGGCCGCATGCTCGAAGCCCCGGCGGGTCGTCTTGATCCAAGGCCTGAAGAAAACAGAGCTGCCACAAGCGCCAGGAGGGACCAAAGAGCGCATCACTGCAGAGCCTTCTTTACGAGTCCAAGCAGCACATCTGTGTGGATGCTGCGCCTCAAATCCAAACATCAATTCCTCAAAAGTCCTGAACACATCTGAAAAATTCTGAAAACATGTATTCGCTTCCAGTCTGGTTCTGCCAATTCAGGAGAAGACTCGTGTGCTTCGTCCAAAATGACAATGGAGGAACCACGAATGCCAGAACGGAGACCTCTGAATGCTAATTATCAAGTTATATGAAGTTTACAAAGCGACTGAAGTTTGCTCATCATATCGGGAGTTTGGGCACAAACTGTGCAACACAATTCAGCAATGGCTCAGTCATGCTCAGTCGGACCTCCAGCTGCCGACTCTCTGACAAGCATGCCATCGGTCATGTACCTTCAGCTCTTTGGATTCTACGTCTGTTCAGCTGGGAGATTCCGCACTGTGGTCTGCACGGTTCATGATCAAATACAGTGACAGGCTCGCACACAAAGAAAAATGGACAGATGGAAAGGCATCCTTAAATGGACCGCGGCTTGAAATCTTCCCTCAGGTCACTTGATTCTGGTCTCTGACGATGTGCGGTTGGAAAATCGCACGTGAAAACCGACCAAGCCTGCTCGTATCACTTCAGCTATGAATTTGGCAAGCACAAAACGACAGAAGGTATACTTGACAGTACTCAGCCTGCTTGACCTTAAATGATAATCTTGATATAATATGGTTGCAAAATGTTGCAAAACACTTACAGTTGGGCCTCCTACTTCACATCCAAGTTCTGAAGCCACTCTATTAGCAACCTGACAAGAGGACACAAGCTTCGCTAGTCAGCGCTGCATCTGTGCATTGCTGTGCTTTTCTTCTTCGAATAGACACATATTTGTACATCTCTCTCTCATCTCTCTACCTTTGGTGATGTTTTCATCTCTCGTTTTAGCATCTCTGCATCATTTTGGCGCTGGGGCCCACACAGAGATTGCTGCAATGCGGCGAGGCTGTGTAATTGAGATGCTTCCCGGTCGATTCGAGACATTCTCTTCGTAAAGAAATCGAGGCACCTCAGCCGGCTCGACAACATCTCGGCAACCTACCTTTCAGAATCTTCCATGAATGATATTTGTTGGATGTGGATGGATCATATTCTGTGCCGCTTGAATATGTGTACATATTACTATATTATCATCAATTATCATAATAATTCATAGTATTGTGCAGTCGTTGAGCACAGAACTCAAACTTTGCGACTTTCAACGATCAGGAGATTACCAATTCGACATCAGCCGAGCAGTCCAAGCCCAACTGAATGCATTTCCTTCGCCGTGGTTTGGCGCCTGGGTTGTCTTCCCACTGCCAGTTTCACCAACGAGGACAACTACTCGGTGTTGCCGCACTGCTTTCACAATGTCCTGTCAACTTCAAATTCCGTGCTCGTCTGCAGCACCTCATAGCTGTATTTCTGGCAGTCCTCTCGGTAAGAAAGAATTGGAAGGTCAGGTGTCTTGATGGCCTTGGTCAGTGAGAATTACTCGTATATAGTTAGATAATATAGTCTATATCTCTCTGTGTGTGCCCATAAATGTCCACAACATGTCCGGTCCATTTAAAATTCCCTGCATTTCTAAGCACTGCCACAATAGGATTGAGTCATACTGAGTCCACCATAGTCTTTGAGATTTCAGCAGGACGTGGCCGCTTCCACGGTCGCTCTGTAGAGTACATCTCAAGTGAAGTCTTACAGTTTCCGTGTGCCACGCCATGGCATTCAAAGGCTGAGATGCTTTGAGATGGTTGACATCGTTTGACATCGTTTGACATTGTTTCACCACGTCTCATGCGCCACAGATATTGGTCGTGTAGCTCAACATGGTTCGCATACTTTTCACTGAGTGTTAGCCCAGCACTACAGTAGATTTTGGGGGTCAAGAGACACAAGTCACTGCCTACCACCGCTATCCACCGCTGGTGAAACAAGGCTTTTCCACTCAAGGTTTCCTTTAAATCATGCTGCACCTACGAATACAGAAACTTCTAGTAGCATTGCTACTATTGTCGAACATCTTGCTTGATTCTCTGTGAACAAGGCGTCTGCGAGGACTTAGTATAACCACTCTCACTTAAGGACTGTTCTTCAGGTTTAACCTTTCATCTTAACAAACACTGGTTGAACATGTAGAAACCGGATCAACCACAAAGAAGTTGTTCATTCGCGCGCTTTCCCGCGGTTTTTCCTGCGCAGCGTGACATCCACAGCTACACCTACAAGAAGTTGCTCAGTCGGGAAGGATGCTTTGCCTCAGCTTGGTAACACCGCTACGTTCTCCCATGAATCAAGAACTGATCAAATTTGCATACGATATCATACAATTTCAATCTTGTGCCTGGACCGAGATCGACCTGACGACCATAGGTTCACCTGAGCTATACAATGTCTGCATCTTAATTTGCGATCGAGGCTGTAGAGTTTTCTGCAGATGAACATCTAGGGCTGTGCAGCCTTCGTCACTGTCCCATCTGCGTAAACTGGATAAACTCTTGGCTAACATCTTCATGAATCTTTGAAATGTTGAGTGAATTGAAGAAATGAACTGAAAGCGAGTCGGGCTGTCTGCCTGTCTGCTCTGTGGTAACTGGGAGACGGACTGAACCGGAAAATCGCCAGCACATATTGTGAAAAGCCTTTCAGAATCTTTGCCAGATCTTACGCAAGATTGTGTCAAACACTGAGGAATATCATCACTCTACCATATGCAACCATTCTTTTCCAACGATCATATAGAGTCATGCCAGTCATGCCTTTACCAAGCAACGCTGGAGACACTTGCGTTTCATCTCAACATAATTCAACGTGCACCTGATTCAACAGGACCGAAGAGGTCCTGTGTTCCATCCATGGTCGTTTCGATTCGTTTTAAGAATCACTGATGGACCTCGCAATGGACA